GCTGCTATGGCCTCCAGCGGGGTCCCGGTGGGCGCTGCCGGCTCGGCAAACGAAAGCCCCGAAATTCCGGACAACGTGGGAGATTGGCTCCGAGGCGTCTACCGCTTTGCCACCGATAGGAATGACTTCCGGAGGTAACCGAGCCCGGGAGCTTGGTCCCCCCGGCCCTCGCGTGGACCCTTCCTGTGTCCCCCTTCGTGGCGAGGCTGGCGTCCCTGGGTGCGTGCGTGCGTGTGCGGTGCTAGCAGAGTGGCCTCTTTCTGGTTCCTGGTGTGCTTTGCTGAGGTTCTTGATCGGGAAAATTCCCCTGAGGCAAAGTCGGTGTGTCATTTGGCCTTACGTGTATAGAATGTCACCTGGACCCGGGAGAAGGAGGCGCCAACACACACAGGCCTTTCAGCTCTCAACGAATGCTTAGTTGGCTTTTGGTTTTGCCCGTATTAGTTGGAGAAGTTACTCCAAATTCCCATGCAAGTACTGGGTAATGTGCCCTACCGTACAACTACTTACTTAGTCGCCTCGGATATGATGACAGGTGGTGATGGGAAGGCAGTTTTTTCATTAAGCATACAAGTGACCAAGAGGTTAATGAAATACATTCTGTGCCCAGGAACTTGATCCTCAATTTGGGACTCTTCGCTGCAGGAGTTTGGCTGGCCAGGAACTTGAGTGACATTGATCTCATGGCACCTCAGCCAGGGGTGTAGCCAATAGGTAAGCACTTAAATCACTTCTGGAGAGTCCTCCGGGCTGAGGGAAGCAATGATTTATGTCAGCTGCTCCCCCAAAGGAGGAAAGAGTTTGACTGTAACAATCCTCAGCTCTTCCTGTGTTTCTAGATGTTCAGGGGATTTGAATCTTAAGTTTGTGCCATTTCTAATGCCGCCTGTTGTCATCTGATTACAGACACACGAAATTCCTACATTGTACCCAAACCTTCCAAAACCAGAACCTACAGTCTGTGACCAGCACAAGATATGCTCTGATGGCAACTGAAGTTGATTCCCAGGGGTCTTTCCTCTTCTCTTCCCTGCAGGAACTGCATTCTCTGCTTAGCAGCCGGCTTCAGCTGGTGTTGCCTCTGTTCTGTAAAGTTCTGTACATAGCCTGTGTCTGTAGAGGGCAACCGCTGCTATGTCCTAAGGAGCACTAACTGTGTTTTAACAAATATTTGTAATAAAGACTCTTCAGGAAGACAGCATTTTATTCTTTTAATAAGAAACTTCTGCTTACAAAACAAGGTTAAAAAGTCAAAATTTACAAAAATCATAAAAACATGATTTATATTTCACACTCGAGACAGGAACAAGCGCCAAACATGGATTGTAATGGAGGTGGTTTGCCTCATTTTAAAAGAAAAAAAGAAATAGACACTGGGACCACCCACATTACACCAACACTAACGACAGGAAGCTTATTCTTGAGGAATGTCCATTGTTGAGCTGTAACGGGGGAGAAGCCATTTGGTGTTGCATAGCAGTTTAGTGCATGCACTAGGTGAGTTTTCCAGGCACCAGAGAGGCATTGTGGCCGGAAAAGAATGAGGTGTGGTGGCAGAAAGAGGGCCATGATGTGCAGGTGGAGCAGAATGTAAGCCACAGCAGCAGACACTGCAGTGACACCACTGAGGAAGCTGCTTCCTTTGCAAGGAGAAACATGTTTTCTGACCCTAAAATCTATGGTTGTGCCACTGGACAGGGGCTTGGGGCTCTTTGGAAATGAAATATTTAAAGAACTGGCATGGAAAGCTCATGTAGCCGTAGAAAGGGTTCTCTGCAATAATTTTTCTTTAATCAGTTTACTAGCATTTAAAATATACTGCTTTTTATGGGCCAGATTTCCTATGTAACTGGTGTAGCGTTAAGGACGTGAATCTGAAAGGTGATCAGTGTAACGACCTCAGTAGTTTGTCACAGCTGACAGGTGTTGTCTGGCAGTTTATTCATTACAGGTAAACTTGGACAGAACAGTCTTGATCCTACTGGCATAAATCTGATTAAGAAAGCTGACCGAGATTCTGGGGGTGTCGTTCAGTGGCATTGTGTGCTTTGCATGCACAAGACCCTGGGTTTGACTCCCAGCACCAAGAGAAGAGTGAAAGCTCTTGAGAATGATTCTTTTTATGTTTTTTGGGTTTTTTTTTCTTAAAAGCACCATTCTCTTGATTTGGAGGTTTGGGAGGGGGTTGAAACGGTCTTGCTGTGAAGTTCAGGCTGGCCTTGAACTTACTATGTAGAGCCCAAGTTGGGCTCAAACTTGAGGCGAGCCTCCCAAGTTCTGGGATCACAGGCATGTGCCACCATGCCTGGTTCCCTTGTGAATATTCATCAGATAGATCCTGTCTGATAGGAGTAACAAATTCTGAGCTTCAGCCTTGGAGTTGGCTTAATATAAAAGCCAGGACCTTTTAGAATCTATGTTCTGGGACCATAGATGCTCTGCTAGATTTATGTCTCGACTATAAAGATGAAGAATGGTCACGTGCATGACAGCAAGGCTTAGGTTTGAAGCCATTGCAGCCAAGTAGTGACCAGCAGGAGATATTTTTAAGATATTGCATAGATGCTAACCCCATCCAGCTGACATTAGACCATCACAAGACAAAAACTACCAACACTTCCTCTTCCTTATAGGAAGGATTTATGTCCTGTCTCCTACCTGATCTCATAATTGTGGGTGGTTCTCTTTGGTCAAAAATTTCCAAAGTCAGGCTGGGGATTTAGCTTAGTGGTTCTGCCACCTGCCTTGCAAGCTCAAGGACCTGAGTTTGATCCCCGGTACAAACAAAAAACAAAAAACTCCAAAGTTGAAAATCAAAATCCTGCAAAAATTAAGACATGGCAATTTCCAAAAGCATAATTTAAATTTCACTCAAAAGTTAATGTTTAGTTGCAAGTACTTGTGTAGACTGTTGGTTAGTTTTTAAAGCCATTATGCTGGCTGGGTAAAGTTTCATTTCAATTGGCTTAATTTCTCAGAATGATAACAATTTGGTAAATAAAGCAACCAAATTTACAATCTCAAAATTTATTTATATATAGCTTGGGCTGGCCTCAAACTTGTGATCCTTCTCCTGCCTTAGCGTCCTGAGTTATTGACAGTAGCGCTGTGAATCAAAGTGCTGCCTTTCATCTTTGCCAACACAACATTTTCAAGGGAAGTCTATTTTAAATCCTGTCACACTTTTCAGCCCTGGCTAGTTAACACAAAATCCTCCAAAAAATCTCTGGCTAGTTGGATTGTGTGTGTGTGTGTGCGTGTGTGTGTGTATGTGTGTGATGCTGGGCACTGAACAAGGGCCTCATGTATGCTAAGCAAGCACTCTGCCACTGAGCTGCATCCCCAGAGCTCACTGGATTTTAAATGAAACACACCAACATAAGTATGGAAAGAGCCCACAAAGATGACAACTTACTTCAGTGCTATAGTAGCTACGATGCAACTGGAATGATTGTGGGTTAAAGGTAAAGGTTAAAGCCACAGTCTTAGACCCAAGGAATGGTTATTAAATGCGTAAGATACAGACTAACATCACAGTCCTATTTAGAAGGCGCTTTCCAACATTAGAATCTGAACCCTCAGAGAGATGCATACTTACTGGGTAAAAAATTAAGTGGCAATGAGAAGTTTTACCCCAGAGACAGAACTCTCCACTTAATGAGTCCAGTAACCAGGCTGAGAGACCCAGTTATCAAGTGTGCTTAGGAAAGTGAACTTTGGTGAAGTCTCGAGCTCAGTGGAAACCTTATGTTTGGATGTATAAAAAACAGGCTGTGCACAGCCCTGCAGCCACCTGGGCCTTCGGCCTTCTGCAGCCACCCAGGACCAGCCCAGTCAGCGCCTGCCCCGGGGAAAGGGCACAGGGAGCTGGGCCAGGGCCTTCCCTCTTCTGTCACTCCCTTTGCATATTACACAGTGCACTGGCTTGCCTTACAATGGAAAGGTTCACATAGAGGGATTGTTTCCACACTGCTTCCTGATATCTTGTGCAAAGGAACTTAGAACCAGGGAAGGTACCACTTCAGGAGGGACCACTTTGACTTCTACTGTAAGTTGCCCAGCATGAGTCAGTGTTTTGATAAAAACTAAAAGGCCTTTTTGATCATTTGTGCTCTCCAACCAGCTGGAAAGCAACCCTTCCACTCCTAAGCTCTAACCCTAGACAGGGACACAGTACACATTAGGAAGGGGCAGCCTTCCAGCCTGATGTGAAAAGGCCAGCATAATCGCATGGAACATACAGGGGAGGGGAACAGCAGCGGGTACACAGTCTGCCTTGAAAGACAGCCATTTGATGAGTAATCACAAGCAGACAACTTGGACACTACAGTAACATTTCAGAACTTGCTGGTAATAATTTGCACTCACACAAGATATGAAATGCTTTAAAAAGTCTGTGATACCAAATGTCCTTTAAACACTACATAGACCCATTTGCAACTTGAAATGACAAGAAGGAATCCTTTCCCTTAATCGTTTCAATCTCATGCAAACCATAACTGAGTACAAGGCACCAAATTTTATGAATTGTATAAAATTAGATCACAAAGCTTTATCAATATGTAAAACAAACTCCCTTTCTTCCTCGTTCTGCCCCCCCACCCCCACCCTAACCAAGTTTTCCTTCCTCACTACTGTCACCTTTCTTGGGCTCATGCTAGGGGACACCCCACTGCCAGCCAAGCCACCGCACGGGTCCTTCCTTTGTACTTGGATGGGGCTGCAAGCACAGCCAGAGCAGGGAACTGATACAATCATTGACTCTAGAAGCCTTAAAGTTAAAAACAAAAATAAACTCTATTGAGTCCATAGGACACATTAACACTTGTACAGTTTCTACTTTTATTTGTGACATTTGAAGAGATGTCTAGAAAAAGAAATTCTTTTTTGAGATGGTCTCACTATGTAGTTGAGACTGACCTGGAACTCACTATGCAGCGCAGGATGGTCTCTAACTCACAGAGATCCTCCTGCCTCAGCCTCCCGAGTGTTGGGATTACAGGCGTGTGCCACCACGCCCGACTTAGAAATTCTTTATAGCGTGGCAGTGCCCCTGCCCCAGCCCAAGGGGCTAGATCAAAGCTGGCAAGAGCTCTGTCCGCCGTTACTAAGAGCTTCACCGCCATTGCTGAGGGCTTTCCTAACAATTTTCACGCTAGCATGGGTGCCGCTATCAGGCAAGCACTAGTCTGAGGGTCAGGTTGGACTGAGGTAAGAAATCTTTTTAGAGGGCTGGGGTGCATTCATGTCGGCTGGCTAGAGCAGCAAGTAAACACACCAGCCAACGGCCAAGGGTTTATGGAGCGGGACTTTTGACTATCGCCCTGGGAAACAAGCAGGCCCCTGAAGATTCAGCAGGAGATCTTGGGCTTCATTTGGCAGCAGCTAATCAACTTCTTCCTGTTCTGGTCTTTCTTCTCTTTAGAGTGTTTCAATATAAGATGCAACTGAGACATTCATTTACTTCCAATGTGTAAATAAAGGCAAAAGGACATTTCCCTCACAAAAGCCACTGGCTCCTGCAGCGGCCAACTTTTCTGCAATAAAAATCTCCTTAAGTGCTCACCTAATAGCAACGTTCAGTGCTGCTGCTTCTGGTACCTGAGGGTCTGGCTGCAGGGGCCACCTTCACAAGGGTGTGGTCAGGGGACTCTGATGTTGGTTTCTGTTCCAACTCATTGTAAAGATTGTATTAATTTCATGCAGGGGTGCTCGGCTGTGTTACACACTTATTTTACAAAATCTTTAACCTGCTTAACAATCCTTATGGTATTTGGTATAAAACTTTTTAAAAATTAAACTTGAAGATATTTTAATTATTCATGATGTTTTTATGATAGCGTTTCCCCCTGGGCAGCTAGAGGCAGCTGCTCTATTGGTTCTTCTCTATCTTGCAGGTTCTCCTTCTAGAATAAACACAGGATTCGCAGTGAGGCACGATTTGCAGTTTCCTTTCCACTCTCCTTTCATGTTCATGGCCTTCCTGAAAGCAAACCAGCCATACCAACTTAGTGGTGTAGATTCACACCAGGCCTCTGGCAGCACGGCAGCTGAGATGCTTTAAAAGTGTCCAGAAGAGGGCGAGCCCAGGCAGCACTTACACAAAGAAGCCTGCAGCAGACAATATAAACCCAGTAGCATAAAAATGCCATACGCTATCGCTTCCAAATAAAAGCTAATATTACAGAAACCTCACAGTGTTGGAGAAAGCAAGTTTAATGTAAAACACAGTCACTCCTCCCCTATCAGGGTGAGCCATTTTCTGTCTGAATTTCCTCCATGCCTCAGTGCTGTCTGGCAGGTCCCATGGTAGAGTTCATCGCAAAAGAGGTCAACAGCAAATGCTACGATCTGTTAGGGAAATGCGGCTCGTTAGCACTGCCAAATCTATAACCCTCACTTGCTAGCCTCACTTCCCCACTTCCCGCCCCTCCCGAGCTCCCCTCCACACCTGTCTCCTTCGTGCGACACGGATGTCTCCACCTGAATTCAGACCTTAACGTGATACCCTCCGTCAGAAGACAGTTCCGTGGACAGCCAGGCCTGCTGCAGTGACCTGCAGTGATGGTCGGGCCAGCCTCCCTGTCCCCAGCGCGGCCGAGTGAGGAGGCTGCTGCCTGATGGCGAGGAAGGTTTCATCTGGGCAACCTTGCTCCACTCAAGTTGGACCCGATTTAAAGAGAAGAGTGTATTTTACTAGTACTGGAGTACTGAGCGGGCACTCTTGCTTTTTTTCTGAGGCACTGAGGACAGGTGGGACAAGCACAGTAGGGAAGAGGTTTGGGAAGGAAACATGCCAGGGCCATCAGCAATGAGCTGGACACCTATGGGTGGATTCCTAAGTGAATCCCATGGCCTTGGGAAGCAAAAGCTCCCAAAGCTTACAGCACCAGTGTTCTTACTCTCCGGTGCACGCAGGAGCTGCGGCTGGAGAGGAAGCTGCAGGCACACCTGACAAGGTGGGAATGGGTGTAGGCGCGGGCAGGGCCGGGCCCACTGTCTGTGCTCTCATAAAGCTTCAGACAGCCCACCTCCAGGCAAGTGTCAACGCCTTGAGCCTGCCCTAGACCTGAGCCGGGGACCTGCTGCAGAACTGGGACAGCCACCAGTGACTTTTGGCTCAGTGTGTAACAGAGAACACACTCTAGCCCTTCGCTTCTATGAACTATCACAAGTGTGAAGCCATCGGTAACAGTAGCAGTAGGCAGTGTGCCATGCAAAAACCCTCACTCTGCCCCTCTCCACTCACCTGCTAGCTCCTAAGAGGATTACTCTGCAAATTCTCAACCTTTGAAAGGTACTTCTTTTGTGGGAATAAACCCTTAGAAGGCTTTACCTCCCACCTTGGAACTAACCCCATCTGACTCCCTGCCTGCCAGCCCCACCTCGGGAGTGCTCCTCCCATGCTGCAAGCAGGGCCTGAGTAGCAGGAGCCCTGCTGCCCTCCCAGCTGGATGATCAACTCACCCCTCTATCTCCTCCACCCGGATCCCTCTCTATTCAGATGAAATGCTCTTCATAGGAGTCACTCCTTTTGTTTCACGAAAGGAGGACATTTCCAAAAGCATTCAAAAGCAAGTGACTACGAATGTTATGGCAGGACAAGAGTCACTTGGCACCATCTACTCTAGACCCAGTGAGGCAAACCTAGCAATCTGTTCCTGCAGCAACCCTTCTGTCTTATGCAAGCACAGATGAACGAACACCAACAGAAGGTCAGCCAGCCAGTCTGTGATGCTGCCTCGGCTCAGGGGAGGCTCTGAGGTCGGCCTTTGTCCTTGTTGCTTGACTGCACCTGAGCTCGGAGTTGGGTTTCTGAGATTCTTGCATTGCCCTGCACTGTTCTTTGAGTGTAAAAGAGTATGTAGGCCTGGGTTTTGCACACCTCCTCGACACTGCATACATTCAGCTTTGAGTCATTGCAGTGGACCCAAAAACCTAGGAAACCAAAGGAGAGAAAGAGAAAATGACTACCCAATGCACATTTCTAGTTGGGTACAGAACCAGGAGTGCAGAAAGGCACAGAGGCCCCTTGGATTCCTGGTGGCGAGGAAAGAGACAAGTAAATGGAACCAAGCTTCTCTGCAACCATGGGCTTTAACCCCACCACACTCAACACCAATACCGACGGGCTAATTTTGTCTCATTTCACTCTGGCTCTTCCATTGTTCATCAGAGCTTTCCACACAGCCAGCCAAGACACTGGGCACTAAGTAGTGGGAAAAGGAGGAAAGAAGAGAAATAGAAGGGAGGGATACAGGAAACATTCTACAGATGGAAGAGTTTGTTCACAGGCCAAGGGGCTCAAGATGAAGCCTCGCTCAAAACACATCTGCTGCCCATCTGCCACAGGGTGGCCGCTGGAGGCTCCACCTGGGGACACTTGCCTCCCCACATTTCTCTGGTATGGGAGGTAGGGAGGACACAGGAAGTGGCCAGCAATGTCCCCGCTTTATTATGACTAAGGCTGGTGAGAGCCACAGCATAGCTACACAAGGTTACACAGGTCCCACTGTTTGTGCATAACCAAGAAGGAAGCTGGGGTTTGCAGAGGTAGCATTACCACAGCAACCATAACAATACTGCCAACAACCAGCACTCTGGGTCACACTGTAATAACCCAGCACCCGCCAAAGCAAGAACCATGTGCTCAGCACTGCCCCAAGCACATCTACGCATGTCAGTTCCTTTGCCTTCTTACAATCTCATGTTGGTAGGTGGCATAGATCCAAAACATGAAGCCAACTTTCATAATTCTTTCCACTGGGCTTTAATGTATGTAATTTCCCCCTAGGTGGCCCATGGGATGGAAATAAAAGGAAAGCAATCAAATGTGGACAGACCAACCCTCTTCCGTGTCCCCACCCCACAGAGAAAAGCGCACGCACCTCCCTCTGTGTTGTAGCAATAGGCTGTGTAGTGTCCTGAGCCAAACCCTTTCCCGTGATGCATGACCACTGCGGAGAGATCATAGGCAAAGGTCTCTTTGTCAAGGGAGGAGAGCATGTCCCTGCAGCAGTAAGGTTCCATGGTTAATACCTGCTCAAAGGCGACATGGACCCCAATCTTCTCGCGGTGATTACGGCCAGACCACCTAGAACATGGGCACAAACTTCTTACTAATGTAAACTGGCACAGGCCAGGGATGTAGCTCAGTGGTGCCAGCGCCTGCCTAGTAAGCGCAAGGTTCTGAGTTTGATCCCTGGTACCAGAAAAAAAAGTATGAAAACTGGCATGCGCAGTCATAGGAGAATGAGGCATAATGGGGAGCTTCTGGCTTAACTTTTCCCATCAAAAACAGGTAATCATCAGCGTCCACACAGACTTGCTGTGACTGTTCCCCAGAGTACGCTGAACCTAGAAATGGCTTAACGGGCAACTCAGGCACCAATCTTTTCAGTTTTCTGCCTGCTTTTTTTCCCAAAATTATTTTGTGCTTCATCCTGAAGAAGGATCCACATGAGCCTAATCAAGGCTGGAGGGTTTGCAAGCAGACAGCAGTGCCGGCCAGTCAAGGAGATGGCCACAGAGCAGAAGCCAGCTTGCCTTGCTGGGCGGGAACTGTCTACTCTCAGGGGAATGGGCTTCTCCTCCCTACACAGAAGACATCCGCCCTCTTCAAGCCTGTGAGGCAGCCACCCCACACCTCATAGGCCCGGGACTCCCAGCACTTACCTGAATCTCTTAAGGTGCAGCCGGAGGACCTGAGGTAGTGTGTAGATCATTAACTGCTTTCTAGCTTCGCTCAGAACAAGGGGTTTGGGGTTGGATTTTCGTCGCTTGCCTATATGGTTTGAGAGGGCATAAGACACAGGTTGAGAAGCGTCTCCTCCCCCTGCAATGGCAGAGACATGGACTTGCCACTCAATATGCCTCCCCTCAAGTCTCAGGACTTGAACCTCAACGTTACCAGGGCAGCAATGTGACCCAGCTTCACAGGCCTGACTGGCGTGGCTCTAGAGTTCTGGCTAGGATGAAAGGGGTATCTGTGCTACTCTTGGAACAGCTACTGAGACAGCAGACTCAGTTGTGAGTTGTGTCCCTTTGTCCTCCCCAGTTTGGTACAATTCCTGCGGGTCTCTGAGGTCATCTAAAGGATGGAAGCCTTGTACCAGTTTAACAAAACAGAAAGGAGGAGCTTGGATCCCTGATGACCATGCAGCCACAGGGCCAGCCCCTGACTTCTCTTACGTAACAGAAGAATAAAATGTCATCTTATTTTAAGCCACTGGTACTTGGGTTGATGTTACAAGTGAACAGACCTAATCCGGATATATCTCCTTTCAAATTTTTGCCCGCAGCAACCTCCACAATTGGTACAGCTTCAGGCCTAACTCCATTTCCTGCTCACAGCTGGCATACTAAATAAGTTATTCAAAACTCTGAACCTCAGTTTCCTCACCAGTAAAACAGAAAATAATGTACATATTTGAGGCTTAGGAAAAGATAAAAAGGATAAGACTACCAAAGGACAGAATATCCACACAAGATTTTTCAGCACAATTTGTGCATGGCATATACAAATGTTCAGGGAGTAAGTTTTACTGAGTGCCAGGGATTTAGCTCAGAGGCGTTCTGCCTGCCTTACAAAAACTCAAGGTTCTGAGTTGGATCCCCAGTAACTCCCCAAAAAAGAGAGAGAGAATAAGTTTTACTGGTTCTGTGATTTTACATCATGCCTAGTTTTTGAAATATGGTTCTTGGATAGAAGTACACGACTGGCCATCAGGACAAGGTTGGGAGGCCAGCTAAGGTCACCCAGCCCAACACAGAACCAGGGCTCTGACTCTTATGTTTGTTTCTGAATTGTGGTGGAAATGCATTTCTAAATTTTTAGCAAATCGGCAATGGAAATAAAGTCCTCTTAATTTCCAACAAAAGCCTTCTGGAGAGTGTTTACTGAGATTAAAGAGGCACAGGGATGCAATATAAAGTAGGGATCCACCGATCCCTAGGGGCTTGCTAAGTGTCTCCGAGCTTTTGCTGTCCTGGTCTCAGTAGATGGAGCACCTTCTATCTGATTCCAATTCCTGCAGTACTCCGGGAAAATGGTAACGCACGCTGATGATGGTTCACAGGTTTCTGTGGCATCAGGCTGTGGAGGTTAACACACCTTGTGATGGACATCGGGATGAATGTGCCAGGACCTGCAGTCAGGACACTCGGGGCAGGCATTCAGAGAGGGGCCTGGCCCTACTCCCACTCCTTTTTGAAAATTACTGCAGCTCTGCTTGGGAAGTTGGCAGTGTCAGACACCCTCGGCAGAGGGCAAGGGCAGGCATTCAGAGAGGGGCCTGGCCCTACTCCCACTCCTGTTCCCAGATTTTTGAAAATTACTGCAGCTCTGCTTGGGAAGTTGGCAGTGTCAGACACCCTCGGCAGAGGGCGTGTGTGAGCTAAGATAAAGTCAAAGTGAACCTGGCTTTGTTCCCCTAAAATGAAATTCACAGGGCCTGGGATTTAGCTCAGTGGTGCCGCCGCCTGCCTCGCAAGTGCAAGATCCAGGGTTTGAACCCCAGTACCAAAAAAACAAAACAAAACAATTTAACTCACCTGCCTCTGATTGGCATACTGGAACAGGATAGGTGTGTTTATAGTTAGCCAAGCACAATATTTCAAATTTGAAAATGGCAAAATGATATCAAATATGATTTTTTTACTTTTGTCCTAATTCTTGAAAGAGTAGAACAAGTTTTCCAAAATTTACTACTTTAAAAGACCACGTGCTTGAGTCAGGTGTGGTGGCGCACACCTGCAATCCCAGCATTTGGGAGGCTGAGGCAGGAGGTTCTGCGAGTTTGAAAGCCAGCCTGGGCTACATAATGAGTTCAAGGCCAGTCTGAACTACATAGTGGGCCCCTGCCTCAAAAAACAAACAATAACAAAAAGACCATGTGCCAGGCTGGGGATGCAGCTCAGTGGTAAATAAAGTGCTTGCCTAGCAAAGGGGAGGCCAATTCCCAGAACTTAAAACAAAAAACACAACTACTGTATGCAAAATATATTAAAAGTGCTACAACATTTTTCTCAGGGTGGGGCTGTAGCTCAGTGGTACAGGACCTGCCTAGCATGTGTGGGTCCCTGGGTTTAATCCTCAGTACTGCAATTGCCTGTAGGACAACAACAAGAACATTTTCAAAACTTAACAGTGTCAATTATCACATGACTGCAAACCGGTGTCTAGGTCTTTGCACAGTCCACTAGTAACGTATTTTATGAGCTTCCCTATGTTTGCTCTGCATTTCCTGTGCACATGCTGGGTTGGCAGAAGCATTACTTGTCAGTGTGGCAAGACATAAGATGCCCATCTTATCAATGGAAAAGGTCCCAATTTAAAATGAAAGCAATGATACAGAGACCCTTTCTTATGACTTCTCTGAAATGTGAACCTTTCAAGCACGTGAAGAAACAAATGCTGAAAATACCCAGGAAGTTGCCACTGGACACCTTTAGACCTGCATCCTGGTCTTCAGCATCACTTCTCACAGATTTAAACCTACCAATTCGGAAAAGCAATGCTGTTCTGGCACCACAGACCTCAAAGAGGCTATGCCACACTCTAGCCAGACATTCATGAATTTAAGCAGGGCCCCCATGGCACTATGAAGCTGAGTACTGATGTCCTCAGAGCCCCTCTTTCAGGATCCACTTCCAAATATGTCACGATAACAACTGATGCTCACTGTGAGGAGTAAAAGGAGGCACACCTCCTAGGCCTTTGTTTTGTTTTGTTTTTTGAGACAGCATCTCACTATGTGGTCGAGACTGACTCGGAACTCACTGTGTAAGCCCAGGCTGGTCTCAAACTCACTGCGATCCTCCTGCCTCAGCCTCCTGAGTGCTGGGATTATAGGTGTGCGCCACCACACCCAGCAGGCCGTTGTTTAAAAAAAAAAAAAATCCATATTGCTTATTCTCACAGAACTTAAGAAAGGGATGTTTAAATGATAGCTTAGGACAAGGGGCAAAAGAAGTACCTTAAACTGCTAGTCCCGTTATACCATCCCAAAGCCTCCACAGAGCACTCACTGTTACACTGGTCGCAAGCATAGATTCTCCCTTCCAGGGCCTCTGTCTCAGTGAACTTGGCCAGCATCTCAGTAAGCAGGCACTCTGTCTGATTCAAAGGGACAAATCCCTTCTCTATGCAGTGATAGCGTTCAGGAAATTCCAAGGACAGATCCCAAAAGGGCTCAATGGTGTTGGATTTGTAATTGCATGATATACACGTGACCTAGAAGGAAAAGATCACAGATTGTATCATTTTCATGGTCCCCGTAAACATTTTTTTTGTTTTGCACAGGTACATAAGCTTACCAAAACCAAGTATAAATTTTCAAAAAGTAAAATATAATATTAAAATAATAAACAGAACTTCAATTAAAAGAACTAGAATGGATGATTTCTGGTGTACATTTCTAACCATGTGTTACACAGCTGAACTCCAAGGCAGAGACCCCCCCAGCGCTGTCTTGCTACGCTCTGAAGCAGCTCGACCAAGGAATGCCCAGCACACAGGCTGCAGGTTAGTGTGAGGCACCCAGCCAGCCAGGCCTCACAGAATGTGCAGCTGCTGTCTGCATCTCACAACCTCGTATGGCTCCTTTTGACTGCGGGTCTTCCATGTAGCCAACTTGCGAATCATTTGCCCTGTTCCTTGCTCCACTCCTACCCTGATTCTCTGTCCACAGTTTGAGTAATGATCAGACATGCTCTCCCACTTTACCCTCCCAGATACACTTCGCGTGCTTTCAAAAAGCCGCAGTGAACTCTTTTCCCTTCCCACCCAGGTCTTTCAAAACCTCAGCAGCTCAATGCAGAAGTTCTACCTGAATCGCCTAAACTGCCCCCACCCCATCTATGAAAATTCTTTCTGCATATTCTCACAAAGCTTCATCTATGCTCTTTTGCTTAGGTCCCTACGTGGCTAAAGACCCAGGAAGTAAAAGGCAAAGAGGACTAGGAAGGAGGCTTGCCTAGGTCCTTGGCATGCTCTCGGCCAGCTCTCCTCCTTGTAGATAAATAAGGAAGAATGTTCTTTCAAACTACCATGGAACCAGTGTTACAGGCAGGACATTTGGTTCCCCACAAGTGACCAAAGGATGGACGGCAGCCATGGGTACCTAATGGTAACAAAGAGCATACGGGACTACCCAGGTCTTCACTGACAGTAACTGGCCGGAAAGAGGGGGTAAGCTCTCCAGTAAGGCCAGCTGTGAGAATGACACAAGAGGTCCGACGGCCACCCTCAATTCTGGCTAACCTAGGTGGCCCTGGGCAGCGCACACCTACCTGGCTGAGCAGCTGCCCGTGGAAGATGGTGTTTACCACCTTTAAGACCTGCTTTGTGAGTTTCCTCTGGGAGAAGGGGATGAGGATCCGGCGTGTGGAGCCCTCAGCCTCGAGCTCCTGCTGCACCTTGTGCAACAGCTCGCACAGAAACTCCTGCGCGTCCTGCTGGTCGTAGCCACGGAAGGCAGGGATCAGGCTCCACACGGAGTGCAGCATGGCGAAGGGCGACACCAGGGCCCACCGCCCGGACCACATGACTCGGAAGAGCGTGTGCAGCTCGTGGCAGAGCGAGATGTGCTTGGAGCTCGGCTCCTTGTTCTGGATGAGCTCTAGGCTCCTGCTGAGAGAGGCCCCGCCATTCCAGCAGAGGCCATCGCGCCTGCAAGCCTCAGCTCTGTCACCCCTGGCCGGCGGCTCCGGGGCTGAAAGCCGGGCCTTACGGTGCGCAGCCTGGGCGAACAAGTGCTCAGTGGTGCACGGGTCGAGGTTCAGGAAGCACTCCCGGAACTTGCGGAGGTGGCTGAGAACCTGCAGGATGGAGTTCATGTAGCAGGTGTTGCCCAGGTTGCGC